GTGCTCGTTAATGATAGCACTGCTCAAGCTCGTTCGAGCTCGTGAACTGGTGCTTGAGCTCGAGCTCGGCAATTGTCGAGCTGCTCGAGCTCGAGCTCGATTTCAGGCTCAAATTCGAGCTCGAGTTTAGGCTTGAATTTGACCTCAATTTGATCTCAAATTTAACCTGTTTGATTTAAAATTTAAACTACTTTATTTTATAACTTTTATCCATACATAATTATTAAAGTATTTTAATTTCCATCTTCTAATTATTATTTTTATATACTAAATATAATATACTTATATTATATATTATATATTATATATTATATAATATTTTATAAGGCTCACGAGCGGCTCATTGAGCCACGAGCCTACAATACCTAAGCTCGGCTCGTGTTCGTTTAATCCACGAGCTGCTCGAGTTCGATTTTGACCGAGTTCGAACTGAGCGTTGACCGAACCGCTCACGAGCGACTCAGCTCATTTACACCCCTAGATCTGCTTTGTTGCAAGTTTTATTTGACGGGTTTTTGAGGGCCGACTCACAAAATTCACGGACTTGAGAATACACAACCTAAGCTCGTCCTATGCGCGCTCGTGGGTTCCACGGGCCGAACTTCAAATAATTTAATCTAAATAATATTAAAATTTTTAAAAAAATTATATTTTTAAAAAGTTTAATGATATATATATATGAAAAGTTTGTGGGTCAAGTCGCGGTCACACGAACTAGCCCGTGTAGCCTATCAAGGCGTCAATTCTCGTGGACAAAAAATTCTAGGCCCTAACTCGTCCTATTGTGGGAGCGGTTTAGGGTTAGCCCACTAGCTTTGGCCCACCTTGACACTCTTATAAACGAGTGAGTAAAATATTATTTTTGTATTAAAAATCACAAGTTTAATTTTTATTAATAATTTTCAGTTAAATTTATTACACATAATTTTTTTAGTATGATTTTTTTATGTAATATTATTACACATTTACACATGAACAAAATAGTTGAGAACAAATATAAGTTTCACCCTTAACTAATTTTTATAATAAAGTTAGACTTTTGACTTAAATACCGTATTATTGGTGAGTTAAGGGGTGGACTAGTTTATCAACAAATGACACCATAGACTTTCTCTAGTATTACATTACTATTTTACAAATTATTGGTGTTGTGTAGGTGGTTTTTTTATTTCTTTCTTTTTTGTTTCTTTTCTAAAAAAAATAAAAATTAAAAAGTCAAATGATAATATGATCATCCTCTAAAAGTGAAAATTGATTTCAGTCATTTATCATAAAATAAGATGTTTTCGTTTGAACCGCTCATATATGGTGTAGTAGTTGATAAAAAAAATTCAATATTGGCTACCATACGAATTCGAATATGCTTTTAGAAAGGAACAAAAAGATGCACTAAGGAGAGAATATGTCATAGTCAATTAGTACAGAATACAGATGCTTCTTAATTAGGTGTTGCACACATACATCGTGTTTATTTTATTTTATTTTATTTTATTATTTTTTCAAAAGGCTGAACCCCAACCCTAAGGACCCCACACGAAGTTAGACATTTGCTTACTGAGCGCAACAAACTTACATTACTAATGTTGGTGAGACTCAATCCTGGTCATTTTTACATTTGCTTACTGCGCACAACGAATCTCCATCACTACTGCTGGTGAGACTCAATCCTGGTCATTTTTTCAAACTTTTACTTTTATGACCAGTTGAGCTGCCCATGCGGGATATTTTATTTTATTATTAATTATTATTAATATTAAATTAGGTTTACGAGCTGCTCAATTTCGTCATACTAATTCTTAAGTTTACGAACTCGCTCCCCTAAATGCATAAACAGGTAAATGGACAATCCCAACCAAACTGGTTGTGCTGGTGACTTGGTAACCACAATGTTACAAATTCAACTCAAGCATGAGTGACCTATTAGCGTTTTTGTTTTGAGTCAGTCAGTTATGAACAATCTATACTGGTTTACCTTATTGTGGTCCTTTGTGACAATCAATTTCTCTCGTCACAAAAAAAAAAAAAAAAAGAGTAAATCGAGACGCATCTCAACTTATAAATTAAAATAAGTTCATAAGTTTTGTTTCATTAATAATTGCGTGGTGCATGATTTGGTCTTATTATAAACATTAATTAATACATAAATATTTGATAATTTGTAAGTTAATTAAAGGGAAAATTGTAAAAAATGCCCCTCTATATAATGTCAATTATCAATGTCACCCCTGAATTATGAGTGGTGTAAATGTTACCCCTCAATTATCAAAATGGTGCACATATAGCCCCTCCCGTAATGGACCTGTGGTTCCCCACCGTTGTCCATCGCTGGTACTTCCAATCGAGAGAGGGAAAAAACAACTAAATTACATATTTACTCCGACTTAACGGTGTCGTACACTAATAGAGAACCACATGTCCGTTACGGGAGGGGCTATATGTGCACCATTTTGATAATTGAGGGGCAATATTTACACCACTCATAATTCAGGAGCAACATTAATAATTGACATATTATAGAGGGGCATTTTTTACAATTTTCCGTTAATTAAAACACATTTCAAAGTAATAGTGGTGATAGGCCATTAAGTTTATATAAATTATACTTCGTAATACCTTAGCGTACGGTCACCTTGGAATTTAATTCTAATGGGTTTTAATTTTTTTGCATTTTGAATTTCAAATCTTTGATTTTGAAAAGTACACACCTTTATTTGTGTTTGACCGACATGCCCCGATTATGAAAATTGACAATCATTTATTTTAGCCTCAATATTTAATTTAAAAGAAAAAGAAATTTGTTTAGCCTAGGGATGGCAATGGGGAGGAACAGGGCTAGGTAGGAAGTATATTTTCCGTTCTTATTTCTGAAATTTCGACTCCATTTCTGTTTTCGTCTCAATCTCGTCTTTAGTCAACTCTTAATCAAAATTTTAAATTAATATAATTTTTAATTTTAAAAACTATAAAAACCTAAGTCATGATTATAAATATAAATATAAATATAAATATATATATATATATATATATATATATATATATATAATGTATGTATGATAATTATTCAGGAATGGTGCGAGGCAGGAAAGGGTATTTCCGTCTCCATTTTTCAAAAAAAAAATTCATCTTTCTCTCCATAGGTAGGGATCGATAATTCCCGTCGATAATGAAACAAATTATCATCCTTAATTTATTCATAGTTCTTGATGTTTAATAATTATATTAAATTTAACTTAATTAAAAACAAAATTGTTATTAGATAATATAGATGGTCGTTGGGGTTGTGATAAATGAGTTGGACCAAGTATCCTAATCAATAAAGTTCATATTAATCGGATTTCATTAGTTTAGCTAATAGTTTTTTTATTCTTTTATTTTTAGTACTACTGATTGTGTTACAATGCAGTATTTGTTCATAATTATTTTCTCAACTTACTGAAGCACAAATAGTCAATATCTCCTTAACTGAGGCTTGAATATACAATATCCTATTTGGGAGAACAACTTGGTGCCACTATATCACAAGGTCCTTGGCTAGTTTAGCTAATAGTTACGAGGAAAAATTGTAATTTATGTCCCTCCATAATATGCCAATTATCAATGTTATTCATAAATTATTAGTTGTGTAAATGTTGCCCTTCAATTTTTAAAACGATACATATATTGTTCTTCCTATACCGTACGAGAGAAAAATTGAGGGGCAACATTTACACTAGGGGATGAACAATATAATTGGAAATTTGACAACGCAAGTTCAAGAAAATTTTTGGCTAAAATGATGATAGAAGATGAATTCCCATTTAGTGTGGTAGAGAATAGTGGTCTCTAGGATTTCATTATGACTGCTTTACCACCAACATTTGCACTACCATCTATAAGAACAATAACTACAGATTGTCTTGAATTATGTGTTGTGGATAATGAAGGGTGTTGGGTAATAAGGTGAAAAATCCCAAAATAATAATAATCCTACAGAAAGATTAATATTATATTGGGAAAACAGAAAACTGTGAAGGAAAAGGTTGAGTGTTTGGGTATAGGGTTTAACACGAGTTCGAACACAAGGTTCTTTTCCTTAAAACATTATTTGCTACCTCTCACAAGTGCTAGGAGCGTTGTAGCCTAGGTTTCTTAGGATAAAACGTGTTACGACTCTTTGTTTAAGCACCTAAACAAAGAGCCCAGCAAGCAAAGCAAAGCTAGAGCCCAGCAAACAAAGCAAAGCTGGAACACAGATGGCTAAAGAAGAGAGTACACAGATGGCTAAAGAAGAGAGTAGAAGCAGAGGTTTTGAAGCTAAAAGCTACTGGCTGTATCAGATGGAAAATGATACCAATCTCTTCTAGTTGGATTTTGATTTATACCCCCCCCCCCCCGCGCGCGCGCGCACAAGCTTGAAAAGAGCTCATGTATATAAGGGGGGCAAATCTTGTTTCCAAACCAATGTGGGACAAAGTCCTACATTTTTCCTTCATTTCCCAACTCAAATGGGTCTACTTTGAGAATCAATATCTCATTCACCCATTATCCGTTTTGAGCGTACAATATATCAATCTCTTCGTCTCACTACGAAGAACACGAATCCACTTTGACCCGACCCAAATCGGAAGTGGACCCCACTGATAATTGCACCACAAAATAGCCACTTAATATGCCATTTTTATGCCATTTTAAGCTAATTTTCCAACAAAGGGCATATTTAAAAAAAAAAAAAAAACAAAACAAAAAGTAAACTAAGAGTCTTACTTACAACAAATACTTGGACTTCAAATAAAAAAATGTTATACATGTGTATCACAACACATTAGATAAATCAAGAATGAAAATTGGAAAAAGAAAATCTTTAATTTACCCCAATTGAATTTCATAAAGGTGTGGATATTATGGAAGCAATTGAGAAGTGTCTAATTGAATGGGGAGTTGATAAAATATTTTGTGTCACATCGGATAATGCAAGTGCTAATGACAATGTAATTAAATTTTTGAGGAACAAAATGGAATTATTGGGAACATCAGGGACCCTGATGAAATTATTTTAAACATAAGGAAGACAAAGACGCGGGAAAGGGCGTAGTTCCCACGCTCCGCGAATTGAGAAATCGATCGTCCTACACAGCAGCAGCTGCTAAACGGTGTCCAAAAAGAGAGGATTCCGACGGCAATCGAGAACTGATCGGAGATGATGAGAGCGGTGATGATGATGAACGATAAAGGCAAACCTCGACTCGTCAAATTCTACGAACATCAGGTCGGTGACTCTGAACCCTAAATATGATTTTCTTCCTCGTTCATTAATATCAATGTGTTCGAGCGTGGCTTGAAATTTTGCAAGGTTAGCCAATGGAGAAGCAGCAGGAACTGATTCGGAAAATCTATGGAGGTTTGCTTTCATTCTTTTTCTGACTTACCAAATAGAAATGAAGTTGTGACCTTCTTCCGTGAACACTGAATCCTTGAGATAATGCTACCTGCATAAAATCTTCCATGTTAACTGTAGTAGAATCAGTGAAATTAAATGTAGGATTGCGACGCATGTGCAAAAGATTTGGTGCAAATGAAGTTTTCCATCCTTAAATTTATGAATTTATGATTCAGTTATTGGAAGATGATCTTAGAAACTATTGTTGTAATATACTCCGTATTCCAATAATTTTTCCTTGGTGATTGATGTCTTATTGCAGTCCTATGTAGTAGACCTGAGAACGTGAGCAACTTTGTTAAGGTTGATTCGTTGTTTGGATCGGTATGCCTTTCTTGGTTCACTCTGCATTTTCTTCCTTATTGTATGTTTGGGAAACGAATATTTTATGGGGATCACTAAGCAAGATTCACATATGCGGTATATTTCTCATGTGCAGGATGCTCGACTTGTATACAAGACTTATGCCACACTGCATGTCATATTCATATTTGATGGCTCAGAGAACGAGCTTGCTATGCTAGATCTAATGCAAGGTATATGCTTAGACTGCTTTTGTACATTAGATGACTGGATTAGATCCTCTCGTTGTGAACAAATGTGAAATTATAATGAATGCCCCTGGGTGTGTGAGATCATACCTCACTGCGAATTCGTTTAGGGTACTAAACAATTCTAAGTGGTTTCTAGGCGCAATGGAATAGACGGCCACTCTGTCTGGGGGGAGGTTGGATTCAAACCCAAGCCTAATGCCTTGGGAGGTTTTAACCAACCACTAGGCTAAACCTAAATCCCAGATTGACGAATTAGTTTAATTCATAAATTCTTCCAATACTGCAGATTTTTCTGATTGGAGATTTTGTATCATTTTGAAATTTCAGTTTTTGTGGAGACACTGGACAAGTGTTTCAGTAATGTATGTGAACTTGATGTAGTATTCAATTTTAACAAGGTTAGTACATTTCTTCTGAATATAGAACTATTGAAATAGCACCTTCATTGTTGTCTTATATGCATAACGGATGACTGCTTCATGGTTAAACCTGGCATGAGGGATTATGAAGTTATACTGCCATATGTCTATGTTTGTGCGTTATGATTCGTTGTTGACTCATTTTACTGCTCCGGTAATAATTTTACAGGTGCATGCTATTTTAGATGAGATTGTTATGGGGGGTCAAGTACTTGAGACAAGCTCTTTTGAAGTGGTTAAGGCAGTTGAAGACATCTCAAAGTAAACACCACATCCTCCCTCGCACTTTTCTTCTTTTCCTTTATCTCTTTTTGTTGTGTTGCTGGCTGCTGACAGCTTATTCTGCACAGGTTGGAAAAGGGTTCCAATTCAATCATGCTAGTTCCATCTATACCTGGATGGCAAGGTCGATGACATGCTTCCAATAAAGTAAGTTCTGTATTTATAAAAATTGACCATATTAAGGAAACAATGTTTTGGTGATCCAATTTGGAGCCAAGTTTCCTACCACAAAAACCGTGTCTGCTTTGATTTCTTACAAATCGGTATCATCTTTAGTGTTAAAACACTCGAAAACATAACTACAGCAACTGAACCAATAATGAATTGCTATACTCTTTGAAGGCATGAATGTCTTGTATACCTTAATGAATTTCATTTCACACACCATTTCTTTTTCTCTCTCGGTTAAAAGTAAGATGATGGCGATGATAAGGTTTAAACCCTAAACCCGAGGGCCTCTCACCCTCCTTGCTCTGGGGATTATGAGAGGAGATAAATCGCGGGATGTGTCTCAATAACGCAAGGTTTGAGTGCTTTGTTTTTTGTTTTTTTTTTCCCAAGTTGAGATCCTCCCCAATCGAGGATTCGAACCTGGGTAATTGTTGGGCACTACACGCACACTCAAGCCTTCGACTACTGACCTATGCCCTTAGGGCATGATGATGATAAGGTGTCTATATAAAACTGTTTTGCTTCTATACTTGACAAGGTTGCATAAATGTTGGCAGTGTAGGCTGGTGAGAGAAGTACAAAATATGCCAAGACTTCCGACACTTTTGCTGTTAGACGGCTTCAGATTAGAATCTAGAGATCAATCGAATCTTGATTGGAATCTTCCTTTGATTTCTTCTTTGTTGAGTCTACATTCAAGTTTTCCAGAGAGAGAGAGAGAGAGAGAGAGGGGGTTTGCTTGTGAGATTCTCAACAGTGTGATTGACACAGAAGGCTTATGTAGCTTCTTGCATGAAATGAAAAAAACGAAATTGTAACATTACACTCTCATCTTTATTGCTTCCCGCAACTGTATAGAAAATGCTTTTGTAAAAAATAGTTGTGAGTTGTGACTCAGATACTCTATAACTAACGCTTCTAAGACTTACCTAATTCTTGTTTTTACATCATTGAATTATGTTTCGAGGGATAAAACCTGACCTAAATCAGGTAAACGTCTAAGTATAGTTAATAGTTACTCTAATTATTTTCTTTGAGTACTATTGTCTTGGTATAAATTTTGTCTAAAGTCCCAATGGGAACAATGTTATATCATGGATCAAGGTTCACAGTACATTGTGCATTCTGGTTCAATAAACATAATTTAATTTCATAATGTAAAAATTTATGTTCATAATCATAATGCATATAAGAGTTAATTCCAGCAATAGTCCTCCGACTATTGTGATTTTCCAAAATTAGTCCTCAACTTTTAATTTGGACAAATTAAACCCTTGACTATCAACATCATTCCACCATTAGTCCTTCTGTGAAACTAGCGTTAGTTAGATGTTAAGAGCAGGGGTAAAAGTGTCCATTCATATGTTGGGTCTGTTCTTCTCATCCGTTCCCATGTCAATCTCCATGACTCCACTCTCCCGCTTCAGATTTCACCGGAGTCACCCACCGGCGCTTGCTGCCCACCCGCGGCCCACCGCCTGCTCTCTCCAGACTCCAGATCGATGCACTCCTCACCCCTGCACCGCCGGCATTGTGAACCAACAGACTTCACAGTGACTCCATTGCTACAGGACTACAGGACTAAGATGGATGCTCGTTGCCTATAAGTGTATATAGACTGCAAAAATGGAAGGTCCCGAGGGAAGAACTCCAAATACACATACGAGGCCTGGAAAAGGCTGTCATTACTATAACACCGTGCGGGGTTATTATGTTCATACTTATACCTATATTGCTTTCCCTGGCTGTTGACGAGAGGAGAAAAACTAAGAAGAGAGGAGTTCGAGTTAAAGCCGGAGGTGAGGCAGGTATTACAATGCGCAATGCTAAATTTTCTAGATTGGTTGATGTTCCATGGGAAGGGGCCATGACAATGGCAGCCCTATTTGAGCAGTCCTGTAGGAAGCATTCAAACGAACCTTTCCTTGGAAAAAAAAATGTAATTAGTATTTAGTAGGGAGTTTATTACAATAGGAGAGGGAAGAAAGTTTGAGAAGCTTCACTTGGGAGAGTACCAGTGGGAAAGTTATGGTCAGATATTTGATCGTGCTTCCAACTTTTCATCTGGTCTTGTTAAATTGGGCCACAACTTGGACACTGTGTTGCTATTTTTTCTGAAAATTTTCCGGAGTGGTTGATTGCCTTTCAGGTATCTGACTTGATTTCTATATGTATGGTCTAGTCTCATCTGTGTGTTCAGAATCATTTTCGGAAGCTGAGAGATTTTTGTGGTGTACTTCACTCTCAGGGTTGTTCAGACAGAATATTACTGTGGTTACGTACCATTTATGCTTCTTTAGAGGATGATGCTGTAATGTACTCATTGAATGAGGTGGGCATATATTAGGTGTGAAAGTTAAACATGATGCTGTGATGCACAATAGCTATTTTTGTTTAATGGGCTTAATATTTTGTCAGACTCAAGCATCCACAGTAATTTGTGATACCATGCAACGAAAGAAGTTGGCTGCAATTAGTGCAAGTTTGGAAACCATCAAGAATGTCATTTATTTGAAGATGATGAGACTACAAGTGATTCCGAAATTTCTGATAATCCTGGCAACTGGACAGTATCTTCATTCTCTGAAGTTGAAAAACTTGGTAAAAGTAGCCCTTTTCATCTAGGCTACCCATCAAGAATGATATTGCTGTGATCATGATCACAACTGGCCTGGCCTGGCAGTGGGTAAATTCAAACTTCTATTTTCTTGATTTTTTTTCTTAATATTTTGACCGGTGAAGAGAACTGAACAACAAATAATACTCATGGAATAGAATGAAATTAGAGAGGATAAAAAAGATATTAGATGTTAAAAAATAAGAAACCCAATGAAGCTGGGTAGAAACAGATATTCATTTCATTCAATGGTTTCAAATGAAGCTGGTAGATGCCAGGTTAATTCTTGAAGAAAAATACAGTGAGATGAGTACTTTTCTCAAATGAAGAAACTGCTAGTACGATTGAGATCGGTGAAGCTAAAATGACAAGTATACAGTCTAAAGTTCCAGAGGTCGCCGCTACTGCTCAACCGTAAACAGAGGTCCCCGGTGAGACCAGACGTCACCGGAACTGTTGATGCCGTTGTCGGAAGTTCCAGCTGAGCCGGAGCTCACCGCTGTACAAGAAAGGTCACCGGAGCTCGCTGTTGTACAATGAAGGTTGCCGGTTCTCGCCCCGTAGCCGCCGTCAACGAGAGAAGAAACCAACAGTGCAAGAATATTATGCAAACCTCAACGACTTGCTGTGATTGAGAAGCTATCTTTACATGCATGCACTAGTAAGGTTTGTCTTTGACTTTTTGAGCGAGGTGGGGGCAGGAAAGACCAAGCATAGGAATGGACGATTTTATCCCTGCTTTTAACATCCAACTAACGCTAAGTTGACGGAAGGACTAATGGTGGAACGATTTTGATAGTCAAGGGTTTAATTTGTCCAAATTAAAAGACAAGGACTAAATTTGGAAAATCACCATAGTCAGAGGACCATTGCTGGAATTAACTCTGCATATAATTTATGTTTATAATACACATAAACATGATATAATAAACATGAATTTTATGCAATAAAAACATGAATTATGTACATTATGAATATGAATTTTGTGTATTATGTTAAGTGTTTATGCATATATATATTATGAATATAAATTATGTACATTATGAAATCAAATTATGTGTATTGGACCTGTGAACCGGGGTTCACAGTGTAAATTGCACCATGCATGGTGCATATGGATGCAAAAACGACGTCGTTTTATTAAAAATGCGCGTTTCACTTTAAAAAAAAAAATCAGTTTCGATTTCCAGCAACAACATTATATTGTGCATAATTTGAACTATATCAAACCAGAATTAATGAACTAAAATTCCAGAATCGATGAACTAAAATTTCAGAATCTATGAACTAAAATTCCAGAATGAATGAACTAAAATTTCAGAATCTATGAACTTAAATTCCAGAATGAATGAACTAAAATTTCAGAATCTATGAACTAAAATTCCAGAATGAATGAACTAAAATTTCAGAATCGATGAACTAAAAATCCAGAATCTATGACTAAAATTCCAGAATCTATGAACTAAAATTCCAGAATGAATGAACAACATAATGCTGTTGAGGGGAATCGAAACTGATTTTTTTTTTTTTTTTAAAGTGAGATGCGCGTTTTTAATAAAACAATGTTATTTTTGCATCCGTATGCATCATACACAACATAACTATCTTGTAAAGAAGGCATAGTCTCCATCTTAATTATAACTCAAAATGTACACATAATTATCATGCTGGGCTTTCGCAAAATGATCATAGAGTTAGATTGCGCGAAGGCCACATCCGTAATAAATTCAGTCGAGGTCTATGAAGGGCCAACAAGCAATCTTGTTGAGAGATGCAAAGAGGCAAAGAGAAGACAATGAAAAATTAAGATAGTCCACGCACCTCGGGAACAAAACAAAGTGGCAGACATTCTTGCCAAGCAAGCTTACGAGCACAACGATATCAACACTTGGTTCAAACGCCCTCCCAAAGCAATTCATAAATCCATACGCGAAGATGAGATTGGCCTGTTGAGAGGCACGCTTTCAGTGAGGACCAGCTAGTGATCCTGGATATTCTCTCTTTCCTTCAAAAAAAAAAAAAATTATAACTCAAAATGTCCAAAATAATTTCATCTGGGTCCCTGATGATCACAATAATTCCATTTTGTTCCTAAAAAATTTGTATTGATTATAGAAGTTCCCTTTTTGGCAGGAAAAGTTGTTATCCTTGAAGATGTTGGGTAAGCTTCAGGTCTACCACTTCTCCGCCACGCTATGCTTCCAAGACCACGGCGGCCCAAACTTTCCGGCGACACTTCCCTTCTCTTTCTTCCCCGCCTGCAACCGCCCACGTCTCTTCACGGTGGCCTCCGCCGCCCACCGCAGCCACCAAGAAAATCGTCAAAACACCGAAACTAGCACTACTACCTCCGCTCCGTTGAACGATGAAGCCGCTGGTGTTACTCGAAAGCACAATTCCAAATCCACTTCTATGCTCCTCCACTTCCTCTCATCCGACCAAAACTCCGGTTCAGAAACGCCGCCGCCGGTGGCGGAGAGACGGGTGTCTTCTGCAGAAGAAGAGGAAGAAGATAGAATGAGGCTTCTAGAGATGTCATTGATAAGAAGAAGAACCCCTCAATTCCCAGGCTCAATTTATGTTCAATCTCCCAGCGATCCTGATGTCAATTCATCTTTGCCGCCCATTAAGACTCTGTTTGATGACCAAAGCGGCATTGCTGCTGCTGTAGATGATGATGATGAAGAGATGCTTATTAAAGCTCTAGAGATACGCAGGAGAGTCACCACTGAGATTTTCATGGAGGCGATGAGAAAGGGGAAATTCGGGATCACTTATTCAAGAAATTTGGTATCCAAATTGTCTGATTTCCTTGATTTTGTGATGATTCAAGCTGCTTCAATGAAGCAAATGCCTGAATTCTCGCACTCATCTTTCAATACTCGAGCCAGGGCATTCATAGATGATTCCAATGTCGTGCCAATGATAAGGTACATGAACACTTTAAACCCTAAAGTTCTGATCTTTACTTTTAGTTTTGAACCATTATTGTTGTATTGCATTTTGCCATGAACTGCTTAGGTGGTTGAAACACAATTCATTATCATTTCCTCAAATTGGGAACCTCATCTGTAAATCGAGACGAGATGTTACCTACATAAGACGTTTTGCTGAGTGGTTAAAGTCGGTAAACGTGAAGGGGAGATTCATTGGGGTTGCAATGCTGAGATCAGGAGAGAATGTCTTCAGCCGCAGCTTTGATGATTTGGATGAGAATATCGAGTATTTGGAGAAGAACGGGGTCCGGAGGGACTGGATTGGCTTTGTTATTAGCAGATGCCCTGAAATATTGTCGTTTAGCATGGAAGAACTCAAGATGCGTGTTGAATTCTATTTGAATCTGGGAATGAATGAGAACGATTTCGGGACAATGGTTTTTGACTATCCTAAGGTGCTCGGCTACTTGAGTATGGAAGAGATGAACCAAAAGGTACCTGTTTTAAACTCTCTTGTTAACGTGGTTGGGATTTGAGGATGAGGAATGGCTAATTTTGGCTGTTTTACATCCAGGTTGCGTATCTGAAGGAATTTGGCCTAAGTAACGAAGATGTTGGAAGAGTAATTGCATTAAAACCACATTTGATGGGTTGTAACATCGAGGAGAAGTTGAAGCCCATTGTTAAGTTTTTCTACTACATCGGGATTTCTAAAGAAGGAATGCGAAGAATTCTTATTACCAGGCCGATAGTATTCTGCATCAACTTGCAGAACACCATTGTGCCTAAGGTATGATTTGCTAGCATTTCTTGTATGTTTATCGTGCTCGCAATGATATTTAATCCTCGCTCTTTCTGTGTGCAGGTTCAGTTTTTGCGAGAAATAGGCGTTCAGGAAGATGCCATTGGAGATGTGCTTGCCAGGTTTCCCCGAATATTCACATATAGCCTTGAGAAGAAAATACGACCAACGGTCTGTCCGTTCCTCTTTTTGCTTCCTTTTGTCTTGACATATGTTGTCTCATTCGAACAACATAGGATCATATCATAGATCAAGAATGCAGGTCTTAGGAATTTGTATCGATAAATATGTTCGGTATTCCTACAGGTAATATTCCTCCTGACGAAAGCGGGAGTCTCACAGAGAAATGTCGGGAAAGTAATAGCCTTCCAACCCGAGCTACTGGGATGCAGCATCGCGCACAAATTGGATCCCAACGTGAAGTACTTCCTGTCGCTTGGTATCCCTCTCCGAAAATTGGGTGAGATGATTGCTGACTATCCATTGATTCTTCGATACGATATAGAAAAACATCTTCGTCCCAAGTACAAATACCTACGACGAACCATGGTCCGCCCTCTAGAGGATCTAATTGAATTCCCGAGGTATACAGTTTACTATAATGCTTGCATTAGAAATGCCCTTCAGATTATTCATGCTGTCAACTTTGGAATTTCTTACAGGTTTTTCAGTTACTCCCTTGAAGACAGAATAATCCCGAGACACAAAGTCCTTGTAGAGAATCGGGTAAATTTTAAGCTGCGATATATGCTGAAAAGCACAGACGAAAAATTTGAAGAAATGGTTCAAGATAAAGTGGAAAGACGCAGGATATATGAGAGTGGCATCAGCTGTGACAATTGTAGTAGCATATTAGAAACAGATCAAGAAAACTAACAAAGATATTTGATTTGAACACTTGTAATAATGAACATTTTTTGTTTTTGTCTGTAACTGTGTGTATATAGTGAGTGTATTCATTTTGAATTACAAAATATAGCAACCAAAGAGAAAAGATGACTATTATTACTAACAAAAATGTCTGTCATAAAGAGGCCAAGTGAAGTACAGAAAGTGTATCTAGCGCCTTGAATAAATGGAAACAAGAATTCAAAACTTATAGATGGTTACTCCATAGTTCGAGATAAGTGATTTAAAATTGGAGGAAGCAAAATCTAAGTAGCAGTCTTCAGCTCGGGATCTGCAGCAGTCGAATATATTGGGTGAAGTACATGACCATCTTTGGGCTCAACATGCACCCACTTACGTCCAGTCAGCTTGTTACGCTCAAACTTGACACACCCTTCTTTTAAAGCATAAAGGGTGTGATCTTTACCAATTCCAACGTAATCCCCGGGATGAAATCGGGTTCCTCTTTGGCGAACAATGATATTTCCAGGGATCACCCTCTGCAGCATAAACACTACTTGAGCAAGCAAAATACAAGGACAACAATCAATCTCATAAGAGTTAATACCCAAAATAGTCCTCGATTATTAGTGGTTTCTCTCAATTTCGTCCTAAACAACTTTGGTGACCTAATGAAGTTCTAGACTTTTGTGTTTTTGCTCAATTTAGTCATTCTGTCAAATAAGGGACAATTCAGTAATCTTGGCCTCTCTTTACTCTCAGCCCTGCGAAGTGCAAAATCCCCTTTTCTTTTACAAATTACTCCAAGAATTACTCCAAGACCTGCGAATGAAATTTTATATTCGCAGGTTTGGGAGTAATTCGTAAAAGAAAGAGGGATTTTGCCTTTGCAAGTCTAGGGGTAAAAATGCTGATATTGAAATTACTGACTTGTCCCTCTATTTAATGCCAAGTGAACGGAATAACAAACGGAATACTAAATTAAGCAAAAACACAAAAGTCGGGACTACATTAGGTCACCAAAGTCGTTTAGGACGAAATTGAGAAAAATCATTACAGTCGAGGATCATTTTGGGTATTAACTCAATCTCATAATCTATAACCATTCTTTGCCATTAGGCCAAAAAGAAATTCTCACCTCTCCACCGAATTTCTTTACTCCAAGATTCTTGGGCTTTGAGTCACGTCCATTTTTTGTGGATCCCGCTGTCTTTTTGGTCGCCCAGCGCCGGAGTACTAAGCTCAATCCCTCCCCAGATGCATCTAAACAATGCAAAATAGAATGCAATTACCAACCACCAATATTCTGCATGTAGTTCAAGGACCCGAGGTCCATAAAAACATGTGTGATCAAATTCATACCGCTACCAGAACTGTATACTGGTGCATTTGATACCAACTCTCTGATATTCAACCTCCTAAACAGTGTTGTGAAATTCATGACTCCTGAAGCAACAAAAAAATGTGCCTATTGAGAAGTGAGAACATCTTATAGTTGCCTGATGTCTGTAGAGACAATTGAAAAAATTGCAACGATAACAGACCATCCAAACCTCAAAATGAATCTGCCTTAGTACAATGGAGAAACATAATAACACAATTTCTAATGACTGGTACCAGTCAAGTTGAATAATTCTTAGTACAATGGAGAAACCAAAAAGGCTTAGGTTGAAACCAAGTGCAAGAAATCAAACTCACCAAACTCAGACTAACCCAGTGAGATCAACTACACACAAGAGTAAGGCTTTTCAGCTAATTTAGTTTAACCTACGCTCTAGCTGCAAATAGAGCATAAGAATTCACACACACTGGGTCTAAATTCAACTCAAATACTCTTGAACTCAGATTGAGAGCGATGGATTCTTTAGCAATTGGGTTCCAACAGAAATCATAACCCAAATGAAATTCATAACGACACAAAAGCAAAAGAAAACACCACATTTTCACAGCTCCTTCTACTCAGTGGAGAAAAAGGCGCAGAACCCACTGGGAGGATACTTATAAACAAATAAAAAAAAAGAGATAAAATCATCTAATATATCGTAATAAACACGGAGATACAAATTCGAATCAAATAAACTGCAACTGAAGAAACTAATCACACGGTTTCAATACAAATTACCGATTCAACGAAGGATAAGGGAATTGGATCAGTTCAAAGTGCTACTGGAAAACAAGCTGAGTTCAGCTTTGGAGCATCTCAGTATTCCGAAATTTTGAGTATTTGAATGTTGGCTGGAGCGTTCCAACTTCCGGCGAATTGGTGAAGGCACGTATAAAGCCGAAGGATAAAAACAAAACTTTAAAAAAATGTACAAATAATAATAAAATAGAGAGAGATAAATTAGGTTTTGATTAGCAAAAATCATTTTTCCGCATTATTACCCCACATTTATTGAATTATTGTTCAAATACACTTCGCGACTACCTTGACTAGATGAATCCTCAAAAAGTTGATTTTCTTTTTAAGAATTTTTCCATAACTGAACCAAAAAAAATATAATCAAACATAGAATTTTCCAGCATACAAAACTGATAAAGCACAAGTGACAATTAAGCAAAGCATTAAGCATAATCTGTAAGCAAAGCATTAACTAATTAAACATTAACACTACACAGTCTCTAATCTTTAATCATTAATAAAGTATTTAAGAAAAAAAAATAGACCACATAATTAGCAGCAGGATTCCAAACTTTCAAATCCGGGGTGGAAACCAACACAAATGTCATCACATAATTAAGCAAAACATTAACCAATTAAGCATAATTTCTGGAAATAGCATTTTCCAACAAACAAATAAACATAAGCAAAGCATTAAGCATAATTTCTGGATTTTTTTAAAAAAGCACAAGTGCACAACTAAGAGTCTAAGATCTAAGATTTAGGGAAATTAGGGCGAAAACAAAATTTATGAAATTAGGGCAAAATTCGTAAAATCATAATAAGGAAACTTAGGGCAAAAAAAAAGAAGAGAAAACTACGAACCTGGTGTGGCGACGGTTGAAGCAGAGGAGTACGGTTGAAACGAACGGCTGCTAGTCGGCGACTGGTGCGGCCGTGTGGTGTCTGGTGGGCGGTGGCGACTGGCGAGGCAGAGGAGGACAGAGACACAGAGCGAGTAGCGACCAGAATAATGGAAATATGTAATTAAAATTTTTTTTTAAAAAATTACATTTTTTGTTGTAATCTATAATTCATAAGTGTTGGTAATACTTACCTTTTGTCCCTGGTCCATTAAATTCTTTTCTTTAAAAAAAAAAAACTATTTTTGATTTTTTTTTTTTGCTTTTTTTCTCCTTTCTGGTCTTTTCTTTCATAATCACACTTACAAAAACTTATCAAAAATCACAAAATAACTCTACTAATGTATATGTATATGCAAACTCGTTACTTATGGTTCAAAGGTATGAGCATGGCCACTGCCCATGTGGAAGAAAACTACAACAAGCTAAGCTACAATGGTTTCTAGTTTCTAGTGGAACTTAGGTTTGTGCGTCGGACGGTTCGGTTCGGTTCGGTTCGGATACTCAGAGGGCCAAACCGCACAGATTTAGATTATTATTTTTAAACCCAATTTCATTGTATTAATTTGTAATATCTTTTCGTTTTTATAGGATTTCGGTTGAGGACGGGTTGGTCGGATATCCGAACGCATCTCAGATATTTAAAATATAAAAACAAAATTAAATAATTGACTAAAACACGTAAAAATTAAGTAAAACTGAAAAATTTTACAAAAACAAGTAGTGCACTGTGCACAAACTACGTGTAAACTTTATAACTGTATAAGTTTTAAACTAGTAAACTAGACAACTAGTACTTAGACTCTAAAAAGTCAAATGGGCAAGGGCAATTATGAATTAGCTTATACAAAATGTAAAACTGTAAAAGTAGCCAATTTCTAAAAAACAGTGCAGCAAGCACCATTGCACCAAATCACCAAATGTACAGTAATACAAAAAATATCCAACATGCCAACTGATCCATCAATCCATCATCCTAGAATCCTAGTTCCTAGCTCAGTAGTTCCTACTTTAGCTCTAGCCTACTGTTCTTCTTCTTCATGTCAATACTCAAAACTTAAGATAAATTAGCAAAAACAAAATAAGATATAAAACTATAAAATGTAGAAAATAAGATATTAAACATTGGCTCAATAAGCTTTTTGTCCATATCAAAGTTAGGATTAAAGACAAATTGCTACAACATCCCCATGAGGATAGAGCAACATACCAGCTTAATCTCTTATTTCAAATCATTGGTGGAAGATTTCATCATCGTCATAACAAATAGGTTAAATTATTTAAAGTCTTAAATACATAATACAATGATACATTACCAGCAGTACAACACCCTTGAGTCCAACAACAAACTTACCAACTAACAGTTACACCACTGTGGCACTGTCCAGTGCACCAAGGTCCAAGGGCAGCAACCAACAAGTTAGTAAGTTACCTAGCCTCATTAGGACAACTGGACAACTAGGCAGCAACTAATTACTAATTAGTTACCAAGCCTCATGAGTCACGAGTAATACAGTATACAGATTACATTAATGCAAGAATATAAAGTAGTATAAAGCATAACATTACAGGAATCGTAGGAAGTGTAGAACCACCAATCATCCCAGCTCCACTCCCACCATCAGCACCCAATTCTGCAAATACAAGGACATGTTTAAAATAAAAGTAAATATAAAATGCAGGAAAGTTAAGTGTTAGTATGTTACCCTTTTCAAATCTCTGCAATTCCTTCAGATTTTCCTCAATTGATATGGGGGTATTATGCAGTCTAAGCCAATCCTGAGTACAAACCAGAGCTTCCACAATTTTAGGAGTTAAAGAACTCCTAAATGGATCTAAAACCCTCTCTGATGTACTGAATGCAGATTCTGAGGCAACAGTGGATATTGGTATAGCTAAGACATCCCTGGCTACTTTTGAAAGGATAGGAAACCTTTCAACATTCAGCTTCCACCATCTAAGTATGTCAAAAGAAGATTCTTCTTCAACTAATGCCTTAGCAAGGTAAATTTCCAACTCAGTTTTTTTCTTTCCCCCACTCTCCATTCTTTGTTTCTTAATCTAGGACTTTAACAAACCCTGGGGCTTCCCAACTTTAGACTGTGAAGAATCAGTAGAAGAAATGACAGAAACAGTAGGGATAACATTATAAGGAATCATAGGAGCAATAGGGACAACAGAGGCAGCATAATCATCAAACAACTCTGTAAAAGCTGCAACCACTTTCTCATAGTAGGTTTTACCTTTTAATTCACCATACATGTGTAAGATCTGTGCTGACATGTACTCTAATTTGTCTCTGGGGTCAAGAATGTTTGCAAAGAATATCATGAAGTTCATCTTATCTATATCTCCCCAATACTTTTCAAATTTAACCTTCATAGTTTCCCCCATCAATTTCACAGAACCACCAACTTCCACCATTCCATTCAATAGGCAATATAAATCAGAAATTTCAGAAAAAAAAGTGTTAGATGTGACATATAAAGAACCTGAAATTCTTATTGTCATATCATAAAAACACTTCAACAGATTCACCAAACTCTTCACAGACTCCCAATCAAGAAAGTTAGGAATAGAATCACCCAAATCTGATTTGAAGGAAGAATCACTTTCTTCAAGTGTGATGGGGAATATACACCGGGTATACGGGGCGCCCTACCGACCCGACGGCCCGACCCGGAGACCCGGTCAAGGCGCGACCGGAAAGCTCGCCCTGTTGACCCGGTCGTGCTCTTGTCAAGGGTCCTAGAGCGGGAGACCGGAGACCGGGGGCTTCAGACCGGTAGGAGGGAGGCTCTGTTGGTAGCAGAAGTCCCGCGACACGTGTACGACTGCATGGCTGCCGACCCATCGCCCGGTGCATGTGTGCCACGCGTCTGACATGCCGGAAGACCGGACGCGGTTCCCCATGACCCTTATAAATACTGCATTAATTGCTAGTGAGAGGGACTTTTGGATATTTGGATAAGCTAGGCTAGAGAGGTTCCCGGTCATCTTTCACGACCTAACCTCCTCAGACCTGTTGTACCCGTTCACATATTAATATACTTTTTTATATACGTGTTATTTATCCATATCATTTGGCGCCGTCCGTGGGGACCAGGTACAAAAACAACACGTCTTTACCGGTCCTCGCTAAAATGTATCCCTTCATGGACTTCTTCAACACCGGCGAAAACGCCGACGATGCCCAGCCGGACCTACGGGCTCAGCTCAATGCCCGGATGGACCTCAACCAGCCGCCGGAAGGAGTATTCCAACCGCCAGAACCAGCCAGCGCAGGACCAGCGGAAGCTGCCTATAGGGATATACCGATCCAAGCCGCTTACCCGGCCCCGGGATACCAAGATCCGGCATATCAATGGTGGGCTAGCGCACAACGTTTCTACCCCCCGGTGTACCCGCAGCAGCCGATGCCGGGGATGTACCCGCAGCCGCCGATGCCGGGGATGTACCCACACCCGATGTACAGCCCGGTGCACAACTACAGGGTCGCCCCTACCGTTTTCGGCCCGGGGGCGAGCGATCATGACGGGGGCGGAATGCCGCCACCACAGGGGCCATGGAATCCTCAACCTGAGGCAACACAACCTCAGCGTCGCCTGGCCCACACCCGACTGGGCTCGGTCGATCACTCGGAAGGACGTATGCCCCGGACCAGCGCGTTCGACAGGCTGCAGCCTACAAGCTCCCCCCGGCGGGCTCGACCGGCAGGCCGGCGGCCATCGCTAGACCGATCCGCATCCAGCCGCGGCGCAGACTCGGAGGAAGTAAGTTCCTCCAGAAGCAATCTCAGACGCGACAACCCGCCGAACATGGCGACCGGGGTACCGCGTGACATTATGGAGCAAGTCCGACAAGAGTTCAACCGGTGGAAGCAGGAGCAGACACCACCCGTTCCCGTCCTAGAGACCAAGCTGTTGAGGACTCCCTTTTCTAGCGACGTCATGCAGCAGCCCTACCCAATTGACCTCCGGGTCCAGGGATCAAAGGATTATTCCGGGAAAACAGACCCGGAAGAGCATGTCAATTCCTTTTATGGAAACATGATAATGATGGGCGTGTCGGACGCCATTATTTGTCGAGCCTTCTTCTCAACCCTTTCCGGACGAGCCGCTGAATGGTTCAAGTCCCTTGAACCGGGATCTATCACGTGCTTCGCCGAACTCTCTACCAAGTTCATTCGTCGCTTCGCGATGTCCCGAACGGTCCGGAAGCACTTCACGCACCTCGAGGCCGCCAAGCAGCAGGAAGGCGAGTCACTGGCCGATTTCCTGGTCAAATGGAAAAACGCTATAGGAGAAGTGGAGCCCATGGATGACAGAACGGCGATCAACGTTCTACACTACTCCCTCCGGGCCGGAGCCCTATATCAGGACTTCATCGTTCACCCTCCGCAATCGTACGATGAAGCGATCCGCCGGGTCACAGACCACGCCAACGCGATGGAGGCCAACTCCGCCAAGCGGCGCCAAGAGTCGGGCTCGACCCGCCGCGAAAACCGCCCGGAGCCCAAACGAGGAGATCGACAGCAGGCCCCCCGGGACCTATCCAGGCTCACCCGACCTGTGACAGAGATCCTCGATTACGCCCAAGGCTGTAACCTGATCCAGCTTCCCGAGCCCGGGCGAGACGGCCGGGACACCTCCAAGTTCTGCGCATACCATCGCAACCGGGGGCATACGACGGACGAATGCCGAGTATTGAAGGAAGTGATCGAAGACCTGTTGAGAGAAGGAGAGTTGTCCCAATTCACAGAAAAGAAGGACAAGGGCAAACGATGGAAAAAGTTCTTCAAAAGGACCGGTCAAGACAAAAAGGACAAGGCCCAGGAACCCGACGACGATCACCGGCCCACGGGATCTAAGCAGGTGATCCATGTGATCTTCGGAGGGCCGGAAGGGGGCGACAGCTCGGAAGACCGGCACAGGTGGTGCCACAGCCTGCAGGTCGGGCTAGTAGAAGAGGCTCGACCGGATAAACGCCCGAAGGCCGAACCGATTGCCTTCACTGACGAAGACCTCCCCCGGAACCCCGATCATGGGACAGAGGCCCTAATTGTCACACTTGACGTTAGCGGCGTGGACGTTGAGAGGGTGATGGTCGA